CCCTGTAAGATGAAGGTTGGCCTGACTTCCTGAAGGTCTAGAGTGAGGTTCTGCTTTGCAAGGAGGGGGAGAAAATGCGTGTGCTGTGGGGATGAAGAGGATTGGCAGGGCCAGAGAGAGTCTGTGGAAGGTGAGGATGGTCGTTGCTGGTACCTCCTCTGAGGTCCTGCTGAGGCTTCTGGAGACCATCTCATCCTGCTTGGCCCTTCTCCGAGCCGTCACGCCTGCGACTGCCCAGGGACAGGGCTCAGTCTTTGAAGAGACCAAGTCTCAGTCTCTTCCTGGTTCACTCCCCACACTGATCCCTTAGGAACACCTGAACAGATGCCTACCTTAAACTCATCCCCGGGTGTCTGGAAAACACAGCCAGAGTACAGGGTGGAGCATTGCTGTTAAACCACCAGCGGGGCCTCTAGAGCCACACATTTATTTACATTTCTCAAGGCAGTGGGAGTGTCTCATTTGATCCCCACAAGCATCAACTGAGAAAGGGAAGCCTGGAATTGTCCCTCAGCTGATAGGTGGCCAAGGTAAAGCTTAAGATCTGCTAGAGTCATTTGCAGACAAGAGGCAGTGCTTCCTCTTGGGTGGTCTAGGAGAGTCCTTTGACCTGGTGCTAAGGCAAGTGGATGCTGGCTCCCCACAGGCCAGGAAGGAGGAGGCACACTCCTGGCTGCTGCTGGACCCAAGGAGGATAAGCCACTGTCGGGTGCAGCTCCCCACGCACCAGATGCTGTGAGCAAGGAACTGCCACTCCCCTGCACTGTCCCAGGAGAGAAGAAGCAGGGAGAGATCCCTGCAGAACTGAGTAGTGCTGATGTGGGGAAGGTGAGCCAGACCCCCAGCTCCAGGGCTCCCCACAGAGATAGGTCTCCAGCCCCAGTTAGACCCCAGCCACAGCGGGGAGGTGCTATTCTCTCAGTGAGAGAGGTGAAGACAGAGAAGAAGCTCTGTTCGCCAGCCCCTGGTAAGCAGAAGAAGCCCCACGCTGTGGGGCCAGCCTCAGCATCCCCTCCCAGTGTCACTAACTCAGCCCGTGCCACACACAACCCAGTGCCTTGTGGGTCGGGCCGAGGGTCCTGCCACCTGGCCAACCTCCTCAGCACACTGGCCCAGCACAGCCACAACACAGACCAAAGGAAGGGGCCTCCAGAAGTGATTTGCCAAGTTCGGAAAAAGACTCGAACCCTATACCGCTCAGGTAGGTCCCTGAAGGTGAGAAATCCGGGCAATCTGGGTTTATCATGGAATAGGTGGGCTGTATGAAGAGTCACCCCAGGAGACCAGAGGGGAATGGTGTTTGCAGGACACTTTTCTCTTGGTCCCGGAGCCTCTCTTGCTCAGTGGCAGTGACCCTCAGAGGGGAGGGTTGATTGGAAAGTGAGGTTGGCACGGAGCAGAAGACTGAGGGAAGTATACACGATACGGGTCTGTGCCGCGTCGCCCAGTGGGGGACTCAGTTGCCAGGGCTTGAGAAGGACACCTGGGCTGTTTGTAGAGACAGCTGGGGGGGCATCTCCTTCTCCTCTCCTGCCACATGGCTGGTGCTCCTTGTCCCCATGTGAGTTGTTTTATTAATTACAGACCAGCTGGAGGAGCTGGAGAGGATATTCCAAGAAGACCACTATCCTGACAGTGACAAGCGCCAGGAAATTGCCCAGACTGTGGGGGTCACACCCCAGCGCATCATGGTAAAGGGCTGGCCACCTGTGGCAGGGGTGGAGGAGACCGTCTGGTTGAATGACACCTTGGTGTGCAGGGTGAGGGCTCAGTGTCCATCTGTGTAGGAGCTGAAGTTAAGTCTTGGCGTGGCTGTGGTCCTGCTTGTCTCTATAGTGTCTGGCCTCAGACTGTCAGGAGAAGGCAGGCCAGAAGCATCCTTATAAACCAGTGTGGCAGACAGGCTTCTGCGGCAGAGCAGTGAAGTGACGTTCTAAGGTCAAGGCCCTGTGACAGGACCCAGCCTTTGTCTCCGCGCTCTTTCTCCAGTTGTCCAATGTCCTCCCCTGTAGGTGTGGTTCCAGAACCGCCGGGCAAAGTGGCGCAAAGTGGAGAAACTGAACAGCAAAGAACACAAGGACCCTCCTGAAGCCCCAGCCAGTGGTCAGTGCAGGTAGGATCATTCCTCTTCTTGGGTCTTCCTAAAAGGTAGAAAGTAGGGTAGAACCACATCCTGGGGTCTAGAAGCAAGAGTGTTG